TATATGAACCACTGAGAAAATGGACAGACTCGAGGAAAGCCTTTATGACTTTTCCATACTGTTCTCTGGTGACATTACACAACTAAAACTAAGGCAGGTTATAAAATGAGTGTTTACTACTAATACAAACTAAATCTTTCTCTGACTCCGACTGGCAGGGTGATGAGCTACAAGTATGGACTAGCAACTCCACACAGTTTGTGGCCAATCAGAGTGAATGGACAGTACGGCACAAACTCTTGCTGACTGGATGCCATAAAAGGGCAAAAGAAGAGGAAGAGATGGGAACATGCACACACACACACACAGAAATAGAGATGCACTCTTAAAACAGGTAAAAGGAAGTTGTGCTAGTTTAACTTCGGCTGTTCAATGTATCATTTAAATAGAGCGACAAGCTGTTTTCATGACTCTCTTTATAACATACCGGCTTCCTGGAGAAAACAGCAGCTATTGTTTTCAGTAACTCGCCATTTCCCAACTCCTCAACCACACTGACGCAAGCCATGTTACATTGAGCTCTTGCGTAAAAAAAAAAAGGCTCATTCTGCTCTTGAACTAAACCAACCTGTCGGAGATTGGACATACAGAGAGAAGAACGAGCAATAAACACCGACTTAAACCGACTGAACAATGTTAGGTTGCTACTTATGAATGTCTTCCCTGCCTTCAGGAGGGACATTACAAGAAAGGGCAGATGCTTTCTCAGAAAAAAGGAGAGATCCTTTTGACATAGACATAGCTTGGTGGAGACATGATTTAGGGAACAGGTTCAAAGTACCTGTCAAGTGAGAATTGCTTAAGAGCTCTGCAGACTGCAGTCACAACGCCATCTCCTCTGCCCTTATCACCTGCCATCCTGACAACTTTTCCTTATTTCATTTTACATATCCCTGCTCCGTCTATCTTATCTCTGATCTATCCACCAATAACCCTGCAATTTATTCTTGCGTACCATTACAAAATTGAACATGGACTGGCTAGTTTCCAGTGAGGAACCAACTTGTTTTCCTCTATTTTAGATTTTCTCTCCTCATGTGTCGGTGTGACATTTGACAACTTTTCCAAATTGCCACGGCTCCCATCTGTAGGAGCGGAGTCACAGATGGGTCGAGAGGTCCATGCATGAATAGTGCTGCTGAGAATGGCTCTGTGTGTGTGTGTGTGTGTGTGTGTGTGTGTGTGTGTGTGTGAAAGTAGCCGTGACCCACCAGGCCTCATGGGAAGCTGCAGCTAAACTGATGGATGCCAAGGAACGACAGAGGGAGGGCAGGGGAGGGAGGGAGCGCTGGCACAGCCAAGTAGGAGACAAGTGCCTGTACTGCAGCAATGCAGGAGCGAGGGGAGAGGGATGTCAATGAAATAAAACAAGAAAAATATGGAGGGAAAAAAGTGTTGATGGAAAACAATGCAGTACACAAATGCCAAGCGGCGCAGCATGGTTTGAGACAATGTTAGCGAGGCTAACAAGTTTATGCAACCTGATTTTCATTCTACCGGAGTTTCTGTACGGTGCCACTGTTTGGCTGATGTATTCTCCTCCTACTGCAGTTATGACAATACCATCCTCAGCCCTACCTAGCAGAGACAACAAGCCCTGGCAAGGCAAACACTCCCTGCTGAATCTCCCATGTCTCCTCCCTCCCCTGCCCTCTGAACAAACAGCTCTCCCTCCGGAGGCTACGTGACAGTGAGAGGGACACTCGGGACTATCGACTAGGTCCCTCTCAGCTCTGTTGTTTCACCCCGTTGTGAACAAGGCCTTGCTAGGACAACCAACTCCTGATGCTTTAACTTCCATGCAGCGTAAGTAATGTATATATTTCCTCTGCTCTCATCCACCGACCTTTCCCCAATGTCTTGCCGAGCGGCCCGCTGCAGTAAAATGTAAACACAGTCCGAGGGAAGCCTCTGCTCGTTTTTCACCGCACAATTGCCCCCACCCTGTACAAACCGGTGCCTGCCTTCTCCATTTCATATAGCCCAATGACACATAAATACACATGCAGCAGCACAAACAAAGCACACCGAGCACACACTCACTCCCATGCACGTAACCACACAAACACACACAGAAAGAAGAGGAGGTGAGCTAATGCACTGCTATCCAAAGCAGAAGGATTGCAAGCACTCAAGGAACAAATATCCTGTTCTCATCATAAAATTTTCATCCCATGCAAAGCTTGTTGGTGGGCCAAGCGCATTTCCTGGTGAAAAATATACACACTTAACCTTGAGGTGATCTTTTTAACATAATGCGTCTGCTTTATTGGATTCTAGCTGGACCTTACTCACAGGAATACCAAGTGCAAAGAGTTGTGGTTCGGCCAAGCCAAGTTTGAGAATGGGGGAAGGGCACAGTGGCAGCACTGAAGTTCTTCTGACGGATCTTATGACTGGTCGTCATGTTCTATTAGAAGGACACTGATATGACTCCCATACCGAGAACATTGCAACCGCATTGTGCTAAAGTGTAGAAACCAACTACATTCACACGTACATATGATAATTAAAACATCTGCAGTAGGAAGGCATTTCACTGCACATACTGAAAATATGAGTATGTGACAGATTAAAATAAGCTGGCAAGAAAAGCTCCAGCAGAGCTTTCTAAATGGACCTTGTCGACTGCTGTTTCCAAGGTCATGAATTAACTGAAACTCAATTAAAACTGAAACAGCAAAGCATTAGTGGTGTAAAAAATTTTGCTAAGTATGTCACTGGCACACGTACTGTAGATTCCAGGTGAGAACTATGGTGTCTGGTATGATTTGTCAATATCCGTATGTTTTGCACCTGTCATACCACACATACCTTCAAGTAACATTGCCACTAGCTATGTGTAGAACAACAGACATTATAGTGCTTTCAGTTATTTGTCGCAGATATGTTACTGCCACACAACACTGCAGAATAAAATGAGAAAACTCTTGCGGGATTGCACCACAATGCAATCTGACAACAGATGGCAATAGTCAATCAAATTTATAACTGAGGAAGAAATTAATTTGGCATTGATGTCACGCTACTGGGCCCAGCAAGAGACATGAACACAAAAACACAGACTCATCCATTACAGTATTTTGTCAGATAACAAATTTCGATTTGAAAGCTGCGTGAGTACCAGACAGTGGAAACTGTATTAAACATAAAGTCAATTAAGTATATTATGATAACTTATGTGACTCTAATTTAAATGTGCTGATGTTAAAAACAGAAAGACAAAAAATGGAACTAATCATTATTAGTAATACCTTTTTGCATGCACACACAAACATTAACTTCCTGTTTCACACACACAGCAGTGTTGTGGCGGAACAACACGGTGGGACGCTTTTGATAAGCTTGCTCTCGCATCAAAGCGAAACAGCTTGTTCTCCACTGCTGCATGGCACATTGCACTTGCAAAACTCACTTGTGTTTAGAATCCAAACACATACATGTCAAAAAGCTGATTTGCAGGCCCTATTAAGGTTTGATGGGAGACTGGCTTCATATGGCAGCGCACACTGCTTCATGTCAACAACACTGAATCAAGGCAACGACACCCCGGTGGAGCGGCTTGCTTTGAACAGAGGGATTTTTTAATACATCTGAATAGCTTTCTCCTAGTAATGGCTTTATCAAAATACTGCTGTCCAAGGACCTCATCAACCTTCAAAATGTCCCCCCCACCAAATTGTCCTTGCATGCTAATCACTGGTAAACGGAAAATAATAGAAACAACAAGAGATTATTCCCTAGTCAAAACAGGGACAAGTGGTGAAGGATTATTTGGAGTTGGATGTCAGGAGTTTTAATAGTCAATATCAATCCAAAAATACATATAGACTGTGGCTGCCAACAGAAAATATTTTGTGTTGAATGTGGGGTTCAGCACAGTTTTATTACACAGTGATAAAACCAACCATAGCTACTGAGATTCTAATGGTAGTTGGCAGCTTCAAAGCAGAATGTCGCAAGTTACACTGACTGCCAACGTGCAAGTGGCCAATATTGATCAGATATCTAAAACAATCTGAAATCTTGGCCTCATAATGACACAACAATATTCTGACTGACCTTTCCAAATGACTTTAAAAACTGCAATAGGGCGCCGAAGGCGTCGGAAAGTGCTGACGACTGACGCTAACTGCTGTTCCACATCAACGGGCCACACACACACACACAACTGACCTAATAACTATGGATTTGCTCTCGAGGCTGTACAGCACAGAAATAATTTGTGTCCAAAATGAGACAATCTGTTAGTCTGTCAGTAACTTTATAAAACACACACGCACACATGCATGCAGACACACTAACCTGTGGAGACAGGGCAGTGGGAGGCTGGGTGAAGAGTGTGGAGTGGGCTGCTGACCGTAGGCCATGTGCTCTCCTGACAGTCTGACGGGTGAAAGGAGCAGACAGTACCTCCTGCTGAAGAAAGGACACAAACAGACAGAAATGTCAAGCTGGGGAGCATCATCGTTAGCTTAAAGTGGAAACTAAGTGTTTGGGATAATCACAATACAAATGGAAAATAGCAAACCTCATGCTATTTTCAAAACAGCCACCATCAGGAGCTACAGCACACTGCTATGAGCTAAAAAGAGGCTTAAAATAATGAAGCGTGAAAGTGGTAGTTGTGTTTTATTTTCTATTCCCCGTCACAGGCCAGGGCAATTTCCTTTTTTCAGCAATTCAAACAAACCGTGTGGTCGGTGTTGTGTGCGTGAGAGACAGTAGAACTATTATGTGAAACTTTGTGTACGCTGGAGAGAGTGCGTGAGGCATCCGTCTGCTGCTGCGACTGTCAATCAGCTATAAAAGAGCTGACCCGCCTGCAGCTGCTCCACAACTAAACCAGGATTAGCGTTGAGTTTTTTTATCCACTATCTATGAATTAGGTTGCTTACAAGCTGAGTGCTATCATACTAGAGGAAAAGCAGAAAATATGGTTGCTTTGATGTTTCTGGTGATGTGAGCATTTGTGGGTTTGTTCGAATAAACAGAGAGATTTTATTTTTCCACAGATGTCTGTTTGTGTGTGTGAGTGTGTGTGTAGGCAGGTGTATGACAGAGGGTCATGGTAGACTGGAATGACTAAAATACTTTCACCTTCAAGTTAGTGTGTGCACTCAGATGTTCCCTGCCTCCTGGCACTGGGGAAAGATAAGATGGAGATAAAGTGGGATACTCTTCCATTGTAAACACTGAGAGCACCCTTGAACACACACTGAACAACTAGTGCAACCCATTAAATTCTCATATTAGGCTCATATATGTGGACTTGTTCAGCCTCTGGGAGGCGGGGATCTGATCACAGAGATTTTTACAACACAAACGGCTCAGTACTTTAACACACCCACAAAGCTGCTCTGGGCGTGCCACGGTAAGCAAACAACCGCAAAGGTCAGGCATGAGGAAAAACATGAAACAGTTAGGACCTGATTTACTAAAATACCAAATAAGATGTGCTAAACAGAGTTTGAAAATGTGTGGGAGAGCAGGTGCAAACAATGAAACATGCAAATATTGAATTCTCTGCTCCTGCACTAAAACAACACACAAGGAGTGATTTAACCACTTTCATATTTGAGCTTTGTCTTCATTTAAAAGTCTTTAAAAGCACTACTGTTTACAAACAGAAATTTTACATGTTTAATGATGTTTTCAGCCACACTGTGATTGAATATATAATGTACACTTAATATGAAGCCTTGCTCTGACCAAAGGTAACGCAATCGGCCTACAAGCACCTCACTAATTTACAAGTTATACCCTAAAAAAAGGATCTTTTGTTTATGGGGGGCAATGTGGCGGACCATTTCTTGGATGGGTGCAGTAACTTCCCAGATTCCTTGATGGTTGCCTGGTGACAACAAATAGCTTCATATTAAGCGCACAGACATGTGATTGCTATAAATCTCTTCACCTAAAAACACGGAAAATATGCATATTTCCTTTAAATAAAGTGTGTGAATTCAATGAGTTTCTTCATAAATTGTTTTTAAATGTAAGCTATCCTTCAGTCAGTCCATTCTCATAACTGCCTCTTCAGGGCTACAGGAGGCTGGAGCTTATCCCAGCATGCATTGGCCAAGAGGCACTGTAAACCCAGGACGGAGCACTCAAATTGACACCTATATTCACAACTAAGAGCAATTTAGAGTTGCCAATCCAACAAACCTGCGTGTATTCGGACTGTGGCAAGAAGCAGACATGGGGACATGCAAACTCCACTCAGAGAGGCCACATGTGGCTGGTGTGCTCCCGCTGTGACGTGACAGAGATAACCATTAAGCTGCCATGCTGCCATTAAATGTAAGCTATACATTAATTAATAAATAGTGATTACTGAAAAAGCCTATAATAAGAAGGCTGGCACGAGAAGCTTTGGTAAAGCAGTAATTCTCTAATGACATATCTGCTGTGTCCTTTCCGCTATCAGAGCTCCAATCTATGAATGGATGTCTGCGTAATACCTTCTCTCTCTACATGTTATTACACACACAATTACCTTTCCTTTAACGACTTTCAGCCTTGGTAAATTACATTTGACAAGCAAGGACAGGGCTTGTATTATGGCCATTTGGGGTTTTGTCAGTGGTAACAATTATGACTATTTTTACACTTTAGTCTGTAGCTTCTCTCCGATAAATATATTCCACAGAAGACGAAAGTGTGGTTTTACATTTTTATTTAATTTGATTTACTTCTCAGTGTGCAGATCTACAAAGGTTCAGGACCAGTCAAGCTCAAACATTCGCCACCCTGGAGAGGGGCTGTGATAAGCATCATTGATGCCATTTCTTTTCCTTCGGCTCTCTGAACTGCAAACAAGCAGAATTAATTCTCGAGACAATTGTTGAGGACACTTAATAAAACACGCTATCCATTGTTCATAACTGTGTTTGACATAAACTTTTCGACACAAACTGGAGCTTTCAGAAACTTTCAAACACAGTGTCCTCAACATTAAAATAGGCAATGGACCTTGGTACTAAGATAGCATGTTGCAGCAGGATTATTGCCTCTTCCTTATCTATGACAAGTCAGGCATACAACTCATATGAGGGGCCTGTAGTCACGACTCGGGCGACTATAAAAAGTGTCCATGAACTGCCAAGAGAGTCTCCTCAGGTTTGCTCCTGCGGAGAAGGAACAGAATTTGTCGAATTGTTTGACGCTGAGATGTGGGATATTTACTGAAGCTAGGTCTCTGCCAAGGAACCAAACTGACTCATTTTCATTCTGGCAGTGAATTCAAGCTGCAGCAATACAATTACAGAATAATATGGCTGTTTGGGTCAATAAGCTCCTGTTCAAAAAGCACTACAGGTTTTACTTATTGTGCAATAACTGGGAGCCTAAGGTGTGCAAAATAAACAGCACAACATTTATAAGAACCCTGCAAAAAGAGAATTGTTGGACTAACTTACCTGAATTTGTAACACACATGAATTGTGTGAAAAAGTTTTTTTTAATGAATTTCTGTTTTAATCTAACTTGTTTGCTGGATTTGAAAACAATTCATTTGTGTGTTAACATTTGAATACTTTTCTGTTGATGAACTATTTTCTACTAATTACTGTATGTCATGCATGAATCTAATCCTGTTTTGAAGGATTACATGGTATATTAAAATGAATATTCAAATACATTTCAGATCCTTTTTAAGAGATTTGACAATAATTTAATATTATTAGGGTTCAAAGTCCTTTCTGTTTGAAAGGGACCATGTCGATCCTTCTCGCCTCGACACTTTCAACACTTCAGATACATAAATGAATGTGCAACAGGACTGACATGTATATTATTATATAAAAAGGTTACCAAAAAAACTATCCAAGCCAAAGCTTAAAGTTCAAAATTATGCTTTACAAGCAAAGTATTAATTCCCACAGGCATTCATTTAATTTAAAATGTGACAAATTGTTCTTCTTGAAATGGAAAGAAAGAAGTTGCTGTGACCTCTCTGCACCACCAGACCTGTAGCTGAGGGAGGGGAGGTCCCTTCTATTTCTGTTGATTAGATTGCCACAGAGGACAACAGCTGCTCTCTCTAGATACCAACCTACAGCACACTGAGAAGGATCGTACAGAATGCATACGCTCAAAACACACCACTTTATTCTCCTGATACCAAAAAGGCATCAGCTGGTTAAGTCTCTATTGACAACAGCTTTTCTTTGTGGATAAAACACAACAGGCAAACTAACAGGTGAGAAGATTTATTTTCTGCTCACGAAGCAACTCAAATGCAGCAAAAAGGAAAACATACCATATAGTTACCCAGCAGCCATAACATTATGACCACCTGGGCACCTTGGTGGTCATAATGTCAGACCACATGGGCCAGCCTTCGCTCCCCACGTGCATCATTGAGCCTTGGTTCACCGCCTTTCCTTCCTTGGAACACTTTTGATAAGTACTGACAACTGCGCACCAGGAACACCCCACATGAGCCGCAGTTTTGGAGACACTCTGACCCAGTCGTCTAGCCATGACAATTTAGCCCTTGTCAAAGTTATTCAAATCCTCACACTGCCCATTTTTCCTGCTTCTAACACATCAACTTTGATGTTCACTTGCTGCCTAATATATCCCGCTCACTGACAGGTGCAGTGATAACCAGATAATCAGTGTTATTCACATCACCTGTCAGTGGTCAGAATATTATGGCTGATCGGTGTATAATGAGGTTGATATTTTTTAGTATACAGGAGTGAACAGATGCACAGAAAAGGAAGACTGGAAGACTGTAGCTAAAGTGTAGGATAAGGGAGAAATTCAGAGAGTAGTCCCCGCCAAGTGTCAATTTCACTTAATTGGAATTCATTAAAATTTAATTCTTGGATTTCTTTTGGAAACCAAGGACAATATGGTGCTTTAAAATAAAGCTCATCCATTGAAAGATGCAGATTTTTAAATGGCAAATGATGTCTTCTTCAATAACAAAAAGTGAGAATTTAACAGGAAAAATAATATTCTGGGATACATTTTTTTCTTTAAAACAAAAGAACCAGGATATCTACCCCTATTTATATATATTATACATATTAAAGTAGATTTACTGCAAGGACAGAGGTATTATTGTAGTTTCAAGCTGAAAGCGCCTCTCTGATATGATCAGTCATATTGCATGGCACTAACTCAAGAGTAGAACATGTTGAGGACACTGTTAGGAAAAATGTATGTATTCACAGACAAGTAACGCAATTCAAAACATAGACCGAGTTGCATTTTTTAAAATTAATTTCAGATGTAAAAGCATGTATCAAAAGTTAAGCCACATCATGGTGACAGTTTGAGGACACAGACAGATAGAAACGTGCTTCATAGTGAGACAGTTGTGAAAAGAGAACACTGGCTGCCATGTATTCATTTACTGATTGACTTATGACACGGTGTGTTATGAGCTTGCCGCTGCTCGG